CTATCCACCTAGTAAAAGAATCAACCACCAGTAGTAAATATTGATAACCTTCAGTTGTTTTGCTAAGTTTCAAAAAGTCTATGTGCCATCTCTCAAAGGGACCATCAATAGGCATTGATGTAAGAGGGGGTGGTCTATTGTGATGATCTTTCTTTATTCTCTGACATCTTTCACAAGATTGGATAAAATCATATATTTCTTGATGCATACGTGGCCAATGGTACTTTTGTTTGAGCGCTGCCATGACGTTTTCGATACCAAAATGTGCACCACCTGTGCTACTATCGTGGTAAGCTTGAAGAGCTTGTAGACGAAGTGTTTTTGGTAAAGCTAATTGTTTTATCCAACGATCACTTTCTTTGACCTTTCTAGTTCGTCTCTGAAACCAATGATATAATACACCGTTACAAAGACTGTATGCTTCTGCTTGTGAAACTATCTTTTTACGTTCTTTGGTGACCTCTGGTAAAGTTTCTGACTCTAGATAAAGGTATATGTCTCTGAAATCAGGACAATCCTTTTGAAGTTGACCTATGTCATTATGATTCGAATCAAGTTGTGGTTCGCAATGTTCAGGTTCCACAGTGGTGACCTGAGCACTACTGTCGTAGTGGAACTCAACCTCTAACGTCGTATCATGCTGAAATGCTTCTACCACATTTGTATTTGTAATAGCTGTTGGATTTTTATCGTAAGTGTGCCTGCTGAGAGCATCAGCCACTATATTGCTCTTACCATCTTTGTGAATAATTTTGAAATTATAACCTTGTAATTCTATTGACCATCTTGCAAGTCTTCCAGTATGTGATTTTTGCGACATAAGATATTGCAATGGCTTGTGATCAGTGTAGACAATAAATTCATTGTTAGAGAGGTAAGTTTTGTAATCTCTAATACCTTCAATAACTGCTAAACATTCAATATCTGACGCTGACCAGACTCTTTCTTGTTTTGAGAGAGAACGCCCACCATACGCAATGACTTTTTCACGGTTACCGTTGTCTTTTTGAGAAAGTACGTAACCAATTGCCGAATTAGAAGCATCCGTTGTAAGAATAAACGTATCATTCATGTTCGGATGAGCAAGAATGGGCGCCGATGTTAATTTAAGTTTTTGAGTATCAAATGAGATTTGACATTCTTGTGTCCAAACAAAATCTTCATCTTTTCTCAAAAGTTTATTAAGAGGATCTGCAATCGTGGAATAACTTTTAATGAACCTTCTGTAGTAGTTGCACATTCCCAGAAATGATCTAACCTCTTTAACTGTTTTTGGTGTCAACATTGTATTGATAATTTTGGTTTTGTTTGAGTCGACTTTAATTCCTTCTTTAGAGATAATGTGACCAAGGAATTTGACCTCTTTTGCTGCAAAATGACACTTTTTGGGGTTTAATGTTAAACCTGCAGTTCTTAATCGTGAAAATAATTCCCTCAAATGAGTTAAATGTGATTTAAAATCCTTTGAAAAGACACAAATGTCATCAACATAGACCAACATATTTTTCCAATGCAATCCTCGTAAAATCTGAGACATTGCCATCTGAAAAGATACACAACTATTTTTAAGACCCATTCCTAACCTTTTCCATTCATAAATGCCATTTTGAGTAATGAAAGCTGCTTTATGTTTTGTTTCGGGGTCCATTTGAAGTTGCCAGTAACCAGAGTGTAGGTCAAAAGTTGAAAAAATTTGGGATTGTGCCTCTGCTACCGTATCAAAAACACATTCAAGTCTAGGAAGAGGAAATGATAAAGGTTTTGTTATCTTATTGAGTTTTCTGTAGCCAACACAAAATCTGTATTTGCCATCCTTCTTTTTAACAATGACAACTGGAGAGTGATATTCACTATTAGATTCCTCGATTATATCATTTTCCAGTAGTTCTTGTACTTGTTTGTCAATTTCCTTTTGCATATGAGGTGGTTGTCTGTAAAAGGGCATTCTCACTGGAGATGAATCTTCATATTTTTCAATTTTATGAGAGAACCTACCTATTGTTTTCCCCAATTCTGATAAATTTGTTGCAAAAACGTCTCTATAATTAGCTAAAAAACTTCCTAATTGTTGTTTTTGTTCCTGAATAAGATCTGAATTTGAGAGATCAAAAGTTATGGGATTTTGTTCGACTTTGTTTTTTGTGGTTTGTTTTGCGACATTAACCTTTGCTGATAATGGAGAATGAAACGGTTTGATTTCTGTTGGATCAATAGTTTCGACGATAGCAACGATGGCATTGTTCTTAAGACAAATTTCATCATCAGTTGGATTGCAAATTTTGAAAGAACCTTTTTGATTTTGAACTTGTGTAACCGTTTTGGCTGCTATTAAATTTTTATTTAATAGATTGTCCGTCGGCTCTAAGTACACAGTCTGTTGCCTCTTAAATCTTGAAATCTTGACTGGAATGATGATTTCATGTTTTGGAGGGAGAACAATTTTTTGCGCAGATCTAGCATAATGAAGTTTGGGTTCAAATGGTGATGCACTATTAGCGTCTGCTATTTGAATTGGATCCCAAATGCAAAGAAACTTTGTGTTTTTCCAGAAAATCAATTCCAAGAATAACCGATTGATTTAAACCCTTGACTATGTGAACTGGATGCCAAAAATTTTTGTTTTCAATATCAATTGGGATTGAAATTTTGCCTAGGATTGGAAGAGTGTTGTTACTGACCCCTTTTATAACATCATAGTCTGGATTTAAGAGTCTTTGTTTTGAAAATTCCGTCTTGAAGAAAAAGGATTCACTCATAAGTGTTATTTGTGATCCAGTGTCCACCAATGCTTTTGTTTCTCTTAACCCTAACCTAACAATGATAAAATTGTGGGATTGTAAAGGCAGTGTTACTCCCAAAATAACTGACCTCTTATCTTTGTGCCCATCCTCGGAGTAACCAGGGACAGGCGCGCATCCCTAATGGTTGTTATTTCTCATAGAGGACCTACACACGGCAGAAAAATGGTTGAGCTTTTTACACTTTAAACACATTTTACCAAAAGCTCGGCAATTTCGCCGATTTGTACAATTGCCTCCGCATCCTGAACATTTTGGGCTTTTATTGAAGTTTGGATATTGCGGTCTAAATTGAAAAGTTTGACGCAAGTTGGGAATCGAACAATAAAATAAAGTGCGATAGTGATATGATACATTGTCAAAGAGACATACCTTAAAGGAAGACATGAATACAGGTTATTAGAATGTTTATTAAATGAAATGGAAATACGAAGAGACCGAATACAGGCTAGCAGAGCCTTTATATACTCCAGATCCATTTCAGAGATAACCTGTTTCCTTTTAGTATTTTCGTGACTAGGTTTCAAATCTAAATCTTTATTAATCCTACCGACTGCTTCAAAATCATGACACTCGGATTAATTATAATGTATGATTATGTGTTGTACATAATATTCAAGTATTTATCTATATGACCAAGGTTTCCTTACTTTCATGCACCGCACAATGCATATACACTTTTTAAGTTAAATTTTCTTATATTACATATGTGTCTAATAAATATCACGTAAACAATAGTAGATAATACGAGTAATGATTTCCGCATACATAAGCCCCTTTATGAATGTCAATTATCAAATCTTTTGATTTAAACCTAGAGCACCTAATTAAATCTACATAAATAATTCTAAGAAGTTTCTCCAATTATTAAAATAAATAAAACGACATTTGAAATATACGATACTTTAGATATCCTCATATATATGCTCTTGAATATTAATCGATCAAAGTCTGATCAACATAGTAAATGAATGACTAAGGAAGGACTTAATGGGTGGAAAGCAATAAATGCCTTGTTAGGTGTATGTCTAAATATTTGTCTGTCGGGTCAAAAAATCAAAGAACAATTGGTATGTAATTCTAGTTGAAAGCCTATCATCAAGTATCAGTTATCTTCAATCTGGGTAAACCGTTATAAATTATAGGGATAGGGGTACTAGTAATTTTAAAGCATAAAATCCTTTAGCGTAGGGACAGCCACTGCTGCATGTGAATTGAGATGTTCTTCAGAAATAAGAAGGACATGTAAATTAAAGTTGTTCTAGTAGTATATTTATTGTCCATTTGTTGTCTAAACCTTTAATTAGCATGTCAAAAACCGTGATTTTAGGATATAAATTTGACTTTTTTCTTAGAGTTAAGACTGATATGCAGTTGTTTGTTTATGAATTCTATTACTTTGAATTATGTATTTAGATTACTGACCCTCATGAAAATGGAATTGTTTTGTTTGAAGAGAATAGAAATGCAGCCACATTTTATTCTTATCCATTGCGGATGTAATTATTTGAGTAGGGGGGGGGGGGGATATAACGTGTTATAAGCTAAAAAGAATCAAGATGACAAAATGCAAAGTGCATAGAAATATAAATGTATATGTTCACAGGCCCCTCCTATGTTTCAGTGCAAGTACTCTCGATATAAGCAAATATGGAAAGAACCCTTGTTTGCTTTTTAAAAAAAATTAAAATCACCGATCACTTCCTTTCCCATGAATACTTGTGAAGTTTCCGTGTTTTTTGTTATAATTGACATTGTTGTTCACTTTTCTGGAAATGAAAAATAAATAGGATTTGAAAGATTTTTAGATATAATTATACATGTATAAGTTTGTATATCTCTGAAATATGACACTGTATATCAATAAGCATTAATTAAGTTTAACTTCAAGAACTACGTGTAACAAGGAGACTGTTTAATTGATTGATTGATGACTGTTGTTTCACGTCCAATTCGAGATTTCTTTCACTCAGATAGAGTTATTAACATAAATATATCATCTCTAAAGATTTATTTACTAGATCCTACTTCAATGATTCGTTGCATATATCAAATATATAGACAAAGAAATGTCTTTCTTTTTAGGTAGATGAATTATCTCTGCAGCTATTGCAGGAAAACATTAGTAAACACATTTTGTTCTTCAATAGTTGCAACATTAATTTCAAGATTTGCAGCAAAGGAAGGCATTTTATAGTTTTATTGAAGAGCAAATTCTACTTTAATTTTATTTCTAGTAGACTCTTAGTTATATAAAATTAAACCTTAATATAGTTTTTATGTGAACTAAACATAAGGAGAAAAAATAATTTCCTCGTTGTTGAAAAGTTTTAACCCGGATAATATTTCCAGGACATGCATTTAATACATCACTCCGCTTACAACTGATTTTGATTAGAGCATATCGATTGTATTTATTAGTGCATTTAAAATTCATTAACGACATTTGGTTATGTTCCGTTGTATAAATCATGGAGTTTAAATTCATGTTCATTATTAACCTTTTGCGTTCATTTCATGATGTATTCTGTTCACCAATATGTCAAGGGTAAGCTCTATTTAAGATGAAATTGAATAGATTCAATTTTATAATTCATCTCTGATATGCAGTTTTTTAAATCATATCTTATACTTTTGTACTTAGTGACACTTCTCGCAGAAGTATTATTTTATTGAATTGTCATTTTGGAATTTACTTTTCTAAAAATGTATATTCATAATATAAAATTACTTTTATTTTATTTTATTTTAATTTTCAATTCAACTGGATTTAGTTTACAATTTAGGTTGGGAAAAAAGTCAATGTCAATTTTCTTTGTGTATGATGCTTTGATTTTGAATATTTTCGTCCATATGAATTTTACGAGTCTGAAAAGGGGCAAGCTTTTCCCTTTTTCCCAATCTAATATGCAAGACGAGTGTTATTGATGCTAGGTCAAGACGTTTGAGTAGAATAAAAATTATTCGAAGCAAAACTCTACAAAGTCTTCATCTTGGTTTTGGTTTGAAAGCAATATTAATGGGAATTTTAAAATATATATTAAGTCTTAAGGACAGATTATACAAAAAAATGAATGCCTGGATCGGTAAATATTTTTTGACTTAATTTCACTGCGAATGATGCAAACAATAAAGAAGATTGGGGATAAGGCGGCCAGAATGCCTATAGCGCGACAGATAAGAAGTGAAAAATTTAATATCAATTATATCCAAATTTTATTTCATATTTCATTCAATATTAAAGTATACTTAATGTATGATCTCCATAATAGACAAAAATCTCACAAAGACTGAACATATTTGCCTATGAAAAAGCATACACTGACTTAAAAGAGCAAAAATGATCATTTTTTCATACTTTAACAACATTTTTCAATATGAGTGGGTCTTCGCCTCAATATTTGGAAAGATAATCCTAAAAGTTTGCGATAAAATAAATATTTTTTGGTTTACAATAAATAGAGCAAAGACCCACTGTACCTTAAAAGTACACTTTTATGACAACGAAGACCCACTGCACCTTAAAAGTACACTTTTATGACAAAACATTCGCACCTTTCTGAGAAATACTTCAAGTCCAATAAGTCATGTGTCATATCACTAACATGATATAAATCCCCCTAAACATCAGGAGCCATGTAGCATAGTGGTTAGTGCCTTCGTCTCAAAGCTGTACGATACTTCGATATTTTATTGCTGGGGTTCGAATCCCACGTATACCATCTAATATTTTTATAAATGAAATTTTTAAAAAAGATTTTGTTTTTCTCAGAAAATGTTTTTCTTTTCTCATAATTTCATAAATTTCAATAATGAGAAGTAAATTTAAATACTCAATTTACATATCAAAGGTGATTTCTGAATATCTGACATAATAGGCATTCTGTCCGCCTTATCCTCCATCTTCTTACTAGTATAAAGTGATTGTTAACCTTCTGTGATGTTCAAACTTTTACCCTTCTGAAACCATCCATATTAATCTACGCCGCCAAATTAATAAGACATTATATAATTTCTTGATTTTTGAGCATGATCTTCTTAATTTATGACACTACAACTTTTGATTGGTTGACGTTTCAGAGAGTATGGACTTGTTTGTTGCAACGGATACAGATGGGACGAAAGAATTGGAATGTGTACAAGTATGTTTGAAAATATATGTGCTATGCGGAAAAGAGTTTGTATTTAGGCATAATTCAAAATTGAGACTAGATATTATTTCCTTGTAGAGAATACTTGATTTATTTAATAATTGTTAATTGGTAATATCGCAAGTCTACAAATTTTAAGTCTACATATTTGTGTCGAATTTTCATTATAAGAAACTATGAAGGGGTGTCAGTGCCACGATTCTTTATAAATGTTTTCATTTTCTTTTTTATTCTTACTTTTCCATTTTCCAAAAAAAAAAAGTTATTAAGTTTAGCTGAAGCTCAAGTGAGCTTTTCTGATCACCAGTTGTCCACCCACCGTTCGTCTGAAAACTTTTTCAACTTCTTCTCAATAACCACTGGGACAATTTTTACCAAAATAATAAGAAAGCATCTTTGTGTTGAGGAGAGTTTAAATTATTAAAATGAAGGGTCATGTCCATTTCAAAAAGACAAGAAAAAGTGGAGTCATTAATAAAATTTCTCAAGAACCACTAGGCCCCAACAAAGGGAATCCCAACGTTTATATTATGATGAAAATATGTATTATTTTTAAAAGTGTTTTTCTCATGAACAACTTGGGCAATCCATATCAATTTTAAACTTATGTAGAAGCATCTTGAGGCAGTGTAGATATTAAATTGTTAAAATCATGACTCTTGGGGTATGAGTAGGCCACAATAGGGAGTTCAAGATTAATAGGGAAATATAAAGAAAAACATCTTTCAAAACCTTCTTCTCGGTAGCCACGTACTACTTGTACTACTTTATAATGCTTCCACATAAGTTTCAGCTTTTCATGACCAGTGGTTCTTATGGGCCTAAAATCGAGAGAAAAACCCCTTCGCGCTAATTCTTTCTCTACATGCATATAAAAGCGCGTAGCTTGTCATTCTTTTTTTTTAATTTTATCAAGATTGCCTAATTCAAAGGTGTATAGACACAAATTTGAAGTTAATATTTTGTTAATTTTTCTGTATAATTTTACGATTTGTATATTGTAAAACCATTTCACAAGAAAATATCATAAATATTCTATTGAAACTTCGAAAATCTGGTAGTGTCTGATTGACAAATCCCTGGTCTCTCACAAATAATGATTTTATTCTTAATACTGAGGAAAAGTTGCGATTTTGTTGTATATAAAAAAAAATCCTCAAAATTCTGAGTAAAATGTTCGAAAAGAAAACGCGCTAACAGTTTATTGTCTGTCCGTGCTCTGTGGTGTGAGAAGACTTTAACAATTGAACATACAAGGTGAATCGTAGACATTAACAATAACACCCCTACTAATGTTATTGTGATTTAAATTCAAGACACGTGGTTAAGGTTTACCTATTCAAAGTTTATATTGTAGAACCGCTTTTATAAATAAATTTTTGCAGTAAACAGGAAATTGCTATAGTCTGTTTCGTCTGAAAACTTGTCCTGTGAAAAATGTGTTTCCAGACCTTTCTGAAAGACTTTCATGATTTTCAACAGAAATGGGTGGCTAAAGGGGGGGGGGGGATAAAAATAATAATTATTACATCTTACCATAGTTTATTGCAAAAATTACAGCTCAGCAGCGACCGATACGCTGCAAAAAAAATGTGTAGTATCATCTACACTGACAAACATTTGCCTTATATAGATATTGCTATTAATGCGTACAGAGGATCTTACCACGAGCAACTGATCAATTGTTGATTGAATACATTTACGCTAAATAGTAAAAACATGTTAACATGTTATTTCGAACACGTGCTTCAGGTCAATCTATGATCATTGGAGTGAAAAATAAAACAAATGTTCCAATGAACAAAATGCAAACATTAGAAACTATGAAAGATATCACGGGCGTTTTGAATTTGTTGTTAACAAGAGAAAAAAAAATTATTAAAATGTGTAGTGTCAAGTTCAGAACACCAGCACTTTAAGGGTGAGGAAAACGAGCAGCCGCTCGTATGCATTTTAATGGACAAATTATTTTTTACACTCGTGATCACGTGTGTTGGGCATTGAATCCACCTGACAATCGTATTCACCGATAGTACCTGTAGTACTTGTAGTAACCCATAATGAAATTCTCAATAGCATTCTGCACTTTTATTAGGTACAGTAGGTGAAATTTCTGAACTTGAGAATTTAACCAAACATGCACTCATTAACATGTAGCTAGAGGTAATAAAATTTTTTGTAGAAGCTCGCAGTCTTTGATATTGAATATTGTTCGTTATCTCAATATCCTTCGCAGAAAGACGGCCAGCCATATCCACTAAAATCACTGTTCATGTTATGTGTTGGAAAACTAAGATGATTTTGGGAATGTGGCATACACGAAAACTTCCTTGCAGGTTTTTAAACGGATTGTGAATCAAGATACATGTATTAACATTTCTAGTTGAAAGATATCGACCTAATTTTTTTTTTATTATTATTTTTTGTGAATATATTATGTACATATGTGTATGTACGTGACACATTATTAAAGATTGAAAATAAAGTTTTGTTTTGTATGCTATTCAGGGTTCCGCCTATAGGTTATGAAGGCTCGTCAAATGGGTTACGCGGGGAATACCTTATTCTTCAAACGTTTTTATATTACTTTTTAAAAAATTTTATTGTCAAAAAATCTTTTTGAAGAAAAAAAAACCAAAAGCACGCGTTATCTTTTTGTTCTTTTAAAATATGCTTTGGGGTATGTAAAATGATGGTGTCTGATTAAACAGAAAAATAATAAAGTGTACATGAAGTATATTTACAGCAACTTCCAGTTATCGTTCCTGACTTCCATATTTGGAAATCGTCCAGACCTGTTTAACAAGTCGCAGGGCCGAAGTATAAGAGGGGGAGAAAGGTTGAGCTTCCCATTTTTTGTGAAAATTATCTTTTTGCAGAGCTGTATAAAAACAGACCAATTGTACATAAAAAAAAACTTAAGGTCAACACAGGAAGTCAGAATTACCTATTTACATTTGTAGACGATGAAACTCATAGGATTACATAGGATTTTTAAGCACGATTACCGTACATACTTTATAGGTACAAACTAAAGTCTCTTTGGCACTTTTGTAGTATGCCACCTCTCTCGAAGCCAAGTAATTGCCTTGGTGTTTATTCTTCTACAACTGTTATAAGACCTGAGTAATGTATACAGTTGCTGTGGATAGACAATCAAGTTTTAATCATAAGCCTTAACACGCAAGATGTAAAACAGAAGCAGTCACTTTAGTTTTAGAATGGTGGCAAACCACAACTTTTTACTACCACAGCTAGTGGTTATCCAATCAAGAAGACTGTATTTGTATTAAAGCTGTACATAAGGTTTAAATTCTCAAAAATATATTTGTTTTCCTGAGAAATGTACCTTTGTATCTTTCACATTATTCAATTTTACGCCTTTTACACCTTTTATTTGTGGTATATGGAGTTTTACTTTATACTATGAAATGATATTGCCTAAAATATACTACAGAAGGGACTTCTTACTCCGTCTTTCCTATATTTAAATAAACAGAAAATGTATAAATTTTTAACATGCGGTAATGAAAATACATTCGAGGTTGTTTTTCCGACCTCTGACGGAAAGACCCGACATGATGCCATTATACAAAATACATGTGTGACAAAATAAAATATAATGAAAGGATACAAAGACGTTCATTGACTATGTTCTCGGGCAAAATGCCTTTTGTCGACCCTCGAATTTAACTGTCTGCTTTCGGCCTGACTGCCTCAGGAAGACAGTTTGGTTCTTGGGTCCGACTTAAAGCATGTTGCCCTCGAACTCACTCAGTAAATGTATATTATTATTTTTAATTGTTTCAGATAAATTCAGTGAAAGTTTATTTTAAAAAATACGATGAAATATTTTATGCGCCCGAATCGGAAGATCCGAGGCGTATATTGTTTTTGTCCTGTCTGTCTGGCTGTTTTTCTGCTAACTTTAGCCTTCGCCATAACTTTTGAACCATGAATAGTTGAGACTTCTTTTTTGGTATGCATACTTTACTAATCAAGTTCTTTCAAATGTCATCAAGGTCAATGACCTTTTTTTTAACTTTGTTGCCGCCGGGCGCATGGTGTTTCACAAACACATCTTGTTTTCAGAATGTAGCCCAGGTTTTACAGGCTTGGATTGCTTGCAGAAATGTTGGTATCCTCAATATGGTGAAAACTGTAAGTGGACGTGTTTATGTGACGTTAGTTTGTGTGATAATGTTCTAGGATGTGATTACAGTACAAAGATAATGAAGTCAACTGCAGAGCCTACAACAGGTAAGGATGGTCTGTACATTGTATTAATAATTGTTAATTTTTTATGCCCCGAAATAAAATATTTGTGAACATATAGTTTTTGCCCTGTCCGTCTAGCTGTCTGCTGATCTGTTAGTCTGTTTGATAGCAACAACTGTAACCTTGCCCATAAGCTTTGACTGTTTATGGATATGGCTTTCATATTTCATATTTGTTGAACTTTCTTTGGGTACCATCAAGTTGACCTTTTGACTTTGACCTTGGAGTCTGACCCAATTTTGTATAACTTTACCGAAACATGAACACTGACCATAGCTTTTAAACAATTGGACCTAGGGCTTTCATACTTCATACATGCATTTCTGTGACAATTTCTTCCATTGGATTTCAACAACTTTGACCCTTTGACCTTGCCCTAGGAGTTTGACCTACTTTTTAAAAGAAATAAGGTTGGCAATGTCTTCCGTACGGTTAGGACTATGGCTTTCCTAATTCATATAAATTATGTTATTTGTGTGACAAAACATTCTTTTAACTACCAACATCTTTAAATTATCCCTCTGACCTTGACCTTAGATTTTGACCTAATTTAAAAAAAACAATCGTAGTAATAACATTTGAAGTGACCCTAGGACTTTCATACTTTACAGATGTAATCTTTGTGATGTGACAATTATTTAGATACCAAAAACCTTAAATATTTGACCTTGGAGTTTGTCCTACTTTTAAAAAACTGAAACTGAAAAAAAAACTTTTGAACAGCTGGTGCTAGGGCTTTCATATGTCACTTATAAGTCACTGTCACACTTTCATATGTATTTCTTGTGAGTGGACCTTTCTGTTGGTACAAACATATTTAATTTACATTTGAAAAGTTTAACTTCCTTTATAAGTTGTCAAACGTGGGTATCTGTGTTTCACAAAACATCTTTTTTTTTTCTCGCTTTACAATGTATATTTTATTGTTCCTTTGGTAGTAATGATTTTATTATAAGTTTTCTATCAGTATTGATTACAGAAGAATTAATATGATCTTGTATTTTTTCATACTGAAGCACAAATTCTTCAAAATAGGACTTTGCGAGACACCATGTACGCATCAAAAACACTTATTCAAATAGAGGGTTTGGTCACAAGGATATCAGAATCTGATAACATTTTCCGTGGAAATGCTTCTAAATTTAAATTAGATATTTCAGTATGGATTGTTTTGTCCGCAATTTTCCTGGCAATTTCAATTCTTTTGCTAACAATAATAAGAAAAAAGTTTTGCTCCACTAGCCATTATGTGCAAACAGTAACATCAGATGATGCAAAACAAAACACTTACAGAGAACTGAGGTGCCATGGTAACACAAACGACGAAAAGTTTGTACACGAGGTACATATGCAAGAAAATAATAGTGGTTGTTATAATGATCCCGCGGTATATGAGGAAGTAGATGAAGGAACATTTGTGAAGGAGAACACAACACAGGAAGATGTGGATGGTGATCAAGGAAGTGGAGCCACCAAATCAGATTATCTTACACCCATACAGATAGAAAAGGACAGTCTGTAATATATTATCATTTATCATCAACGTAGGTCTTTCATATTGATTTTCATAGCTAGAATCGGTGACTGAAAGATTAATACATTTAAAAATATGCAAAGTGTACATATTTAAAGTTGAATGAAATTGTTATTTTAATGTGGAAGATAAAATAAAAGGTAAATATATACTAAAATAATAATAAGAATAATAATAAGAGATTATAATAATCATATTAGATTCAAAACGATAAAATGGTTAAAAGGAAGAAAATCCGTAATATTATCTGTAAATTATTACTAATCTCCAGAGAAATTGTTTTCCAAAATGATAGGATAATTTAAGAATTATTTCTTGTGATTAAATGTGATGCACAAAATGAGATTTTTTAAGATCTTGCATATACATCTAAAGAGCAAGAGCCATCTTATGCAAAAAATGGCCCTGTATTTATATCAATTAATTAACTATCACCCTCTTTCCATTTTCATATATCAAAATAAAGTAGACACTTGGTGCTTTCATGTTCTATAATGAAATTTTGTTCTGAGAAACCAGATATTTGAAAACAGGCTTTGAGAAATTGCAATTTTCTTGAAATTTGCAGAAAATATGCGTATTTGACTACCTTCAGCAAAGAATTAAAATATGAGCACAGCCCACGATCCAAAAAATAAAACATGTATTTTGATCTTCAGAAATAGGCCTTTCATAATGTATTGGCATATTTTGGATCAGAGGTTGTGCTCTATATGAAATATTGAAAAAATGCTTCAACTTTAGGTCATTTTCAAAGGAATTTACAGGATATAAGCAAAATGACGCATTTTATGACGTCATAATGCATTGACTAGATGTAAAATAACGTCACAATTAATAGATACATGGTCACCAACAGTCCAAGTGATAAATACTGCATTTACAACCTAAACTGAGCGGTTTTCAATTTTCAGAAATTCTTAGGGCCAAATAAGGCGCAAAGTGGCTCTACCTCTTTAGTATCTGCTGTGTAAACCAAACCACTTGATAGATCTGCCCTGAGGTGACTGAAAATACCGATAAGTTACAAAAAGAAAATATTTTAATAAAAGTTATCTACCTGCAACAGAGCATAAAATAAGTCCTGCATAGGTTTTCTGCATCTAAACCACTTTTTTGTAAACTTACAGTGTATCAATATATTTCTATTCTACCTAAGATACAAAGCTATTTACACAAAGAACTAGAGGTACTGTGAGCAATGAGCTCACTAATTGATAACCCCCGCCTCCCATTTGGATATAATGGCAGTGACATGGGTACCCCAAAGCCTAACAGATGGACGTACAGAGGGACGGACATACCGATTATTATGTACCCTCCCACTTTTCAAGCGGGGGTATATGTAGAGATACTGTGAGCAACAAGCTCACTAAATAATACCCCGCTTCCCATATGCATATAATGGCAGTGTCAATGTTTCGATATGGGAAACCAAAAACATTCGTCGGATCAAAAGTAAAATAGGAGGTACACAGTGGCATAATGTAATGAAGATTCTCTGAAATCCTCATCAAATTTCATTCAGTTGTATCAGAGGAGTTGCGGATAAGAGATAAGTACCACAAAGCGTAAGAGTCGGACGGACGGACATCCCGATTATTATAAACCATGCCGCTTTTTAAGGGGAAGGGGGTATAATATTAAACTAAATAGTCTTATAATGACACAATGAGTCAAAATCATGTCTTTCTTTAAAGATATCTGTAGCATATAGAGAAAGACTTATGAAAATTATGAGAATATACTAAGTTATAACAATTAAACTGCAAGAAAAAACTGCACGATATAAGTGCCGGAAAAACAAAGGTTGTATCTACCATTTCGTTGTCTCGTGTGTGTCAATGTCACGCCACTATTATTTTTAGCTCAAACTTGTAAACAACATTCAACTGGAGCATGTAAAGGTGAGAAATATGTTCTAACAACGTTTTAAAAACATTGCCTCTAAATTTTTGGTCTACTGACATTCATTCCTGGGTACTTGAGTCCATGGTAACTATGGAAACTTATTCAACTTTTCTGCGCACGCGTACAATGGGATAGAAGAAGTATTGAGCAACATTTTCGGTCTGGGGCATACAAAAATTTTTTTTACTTTTATTTTTCTTCTTAAAAATAGAATTTTTAGGTTCTGAAAGCTGTAATTTTCTGAAACCTAATACTTTTAGGAATTGAACAAAATCAACAAGGGTCACGCAAAAATTCTACATTTGTCAATTTTGCCCTTTGTGCGTCACAGTGCCGCTTTAATTAAGAAAGGAATATGATTCCATGTTCTGAAATTCCTAATAAATTTGCATTTTAAATAATTATGGATTCAGTGCTTAAATATTTACAATGTACTTATTCTTTGCTCCAACATACTTTTGAAAGAGTGAGAACACTTCACAATGATCATATATTAATAGTAATTCATTTCTAAGAAACAAACCAAAAACAAGCTTCACTTTTTTAATTGACCTTGAAAAAGGAGAGTGTCTGCCTCCTTTGTCATTCCGGAAAAATATGTATTATTTTAGAATAGATCTAACATATAAAAATACATGACAAGGAAGGCAGTTAATAACAAATTTGCTACACTTGCTACACTTGACCGAAAAAGTGAACTTTAAGCTATGTTTGATGAAACAAAATAATATAGATTGATAATCATATAGTGAAGCTTTCCATTAGAATTCAAGTTTTCTTAATAGAACATACTTAAACATACCATTTCAGATGTAAGGAAGGTCCATACTGTATTTCCACGGATCCGTTTTTAATTTTTTTTATAAACTAATTATGAAATAATGGTTATCAATTTTCTATGGAAATGATTTTTAGCTGATGGTTAACAATGTTGCAAGTATGTAAAATAATGTTTATCGTGCAGACAACGCATGTGATATATTTTTTTTTACGGAAATGAACACTTAGCACTTTGCCTGTTGGATGCATGAATCATTTCATACTCAAGCAAAAACACAAGATTCTTGATTGCCTGTAACTAGAATTTTTCGTATCTCCTTTACAAATCGACTTGAAATCTACCTTTTATATTTTTTTTTCACATATTTCAAAGTTGTTTTTTTTATTTTTTTATTTTTTTTTTTTTTTTTTTTTGTAAAACTTGATATCAGGGTTAACATTTCTTCAAAAGTCTGCTAAATTTAAAATTTATCTGGTCAATCATCATAAAATATGCGTTTTCTTTTTGTTATCATAACTATAAGTCTAAATATTTACATTTCCAATGTCTTTGTCCGAGATAAAATTACCAATTGTAAATGTAATTTATTTCCTCATGAATGTTTTGGCGCGGTTCCAAAAAAAAACCACGTGCAGGGCGGGACAACACCAAGAGGCAGGCTTGGAGCCCATGGATTGGCGGAATCAAAGCTAAATATAAGGAATAACTGTCTTATTTTTCGAATTCATGAAGTGATCAATGGATTGGTTTGTGTGATAATCTGCATAAACGCCGAAGGCGTTTATGCATAAAATTATCACACAGTTGTTCCTTAAATACATGTACTTTAAAGAGAAAAATTGCATATAAGGATTTAAGTTTTTTTTTTAATAATCATGCAATATTAAGGTATTTTGTTTTTGTTTTTTTAAGGATGAGGTCAGATTCAACATCAATTTGTTGATTTTTTTTGAGTGAAAATCTTCAGAAATTCCATTTGCAAATGAATACTTTTGATCGTTCATCTCATCTTTTCTTCTTTCATCTTTAGTTTAAATTTGATTGGGTTTTTTTTTTATGCATAGCTAAATAAGATTTGAAATCGTACTCCTCTGTGGTTAATTTGGGGTGTTGTATTTTGAGGGGTATATATTTTGAGATAGAGATAACAAAATCTTTAACTTTAAAATAATACTGATAATCTATAATCCCCCTCCCCCAAAAAAGAGGATCCGAAAGATTGTATGAAAATAAACATGCAAAGGCGTGTCATTTTTTAACTTTTTAGGTAGTTTATGAGTTATTTTATATATTCAAAAAAAAAAATATAAAATAGTTTGACAGAATGTTTGAGAGCCAACAAAAACAAATAATTTGTTTGATGTAATCTAGACGACCTTTCAAACTTTATTAAGGTTTTTAATTCGTCTTAAACGCTTTTTAAGTAAAATTTCCACAGCAATAGAAAATAAATTTTGATTAAGTATAAAGTGTCTATAATGTAAATTTCAAAGTATATTTAAGGAATAACTGTCTTATTTTTCGAATTCATGAAGTGATCAGTGGATTGGCTTGTGTGATAATCTGCATAAACGCCGAAGGCCTTTATGCATAAAATTATCACACAAGCCAATCCATTGATCATCTTCATGAATTCGAAAAATAAGACAGTTATTCCTTATATTTACATGCTTTGATTCCGCCAATCCACAGGCTCCAAGCCTGCTTCTCTCTAGGTGTTGTCCCGCCCTGCTCGTGGTTTTTTTTGGAACCGCGCCAAAACATTCATGAGGAAATAAATTACATTTACAATTGGTAATTTTATCTCGGACAAAGACATTGGAAATGTAAATATAAACATGTATAATATTTTTTAGGATAAACAAAGTGGGGGTCGGGATACATCAAAGGAAAGAAAAATTAATTATGTCCTAAAAATTTTAGGAAATCATGCATGTTTTACTAGCAAAACAGTCTAAACATTCGCCATATTTATTTCAGAAATAAAACAAAAATATGGCTAATTAGTAATAAAAAAACTTCATTAGCAACTGACCGACCTTAACATAAATATGGAAGCATGGTATGCAAATTCAATGCGCTTTCTTACAAAATTAAAATTTAGTTTTAGTCGTTAGTATTAGAAATTTTGTCTCTAAATGTTAATACTAGTACATTTAAAAAAATAAATCAAAAAACATTTTTTTATGTTTGCATTTGCTAAAAACTGTACTTTGAAATTATGTATATAGCTCAAATTCTTCATTTGATACAACTTTCATACATTTTCTGGTGCCTTCTATTCCGAAATGCCTTTCAATGCAATTTCCCAAACATTTAAATAGCGCTGAAAATAAAAATAACAAAGTTCTTCTGAATTAAATCTGTACATTCAATTGATAGCCAAGCTCCGGTTATGTATTAATATTTATACTCTGTCAGAGAAATTGAGGTTGCCCGTGAAAATGTACTTTTTCACTACGGGTGCAAGTATTTCTTTTTGTTTCACCGATCCCACCCTCTAAATAAATGTGGTCCCTTAAAATAAAAACGATTATGTAAAAAAATAATAAATAAATAAAAATAAAAAAAAACTCACACAAAAAATAAGGGCATTGAAACTCATTAGTCACTTGTTACAGCTAAATAGTTTTTGACATCAGTTCTAAATCTCTTGTTCAGAAAACTATAAATTAGAGGATTAATTGCATTATTAACGATATAAGATTTCAAAAAGAATTTGTACACGACTTCTGCATCGTCAGAAAGCGTCTCTTCTAAATCCTTCTTCACATTGCGTATGATCATAATAGCGGGAAACAGATGATAACTCAAAATAAATGCCGTCGTCAACATCAAGGCAGCGTATTTTCTTACCAAGATGGCTGACAAAGCAGGTTACAAAATGTCTTTGTTTGTAAGGCTCATTATATATAAAATGTATTTTAGAAATACTTCAATTTAATTCTACAAGTGATATTCAAAACATACTCATAGATCCGTTTCTAAGTAAGAAAATTCTTTGAAATCATTTCAGTTTCAAATGTTTTTAATATTCCAAAGAAACAAATGTGAACTTCCATGTATATAATTGATTCCGAAACTTTATAAGAATCCTTACAAAAAAAGAGACGTAGCGAGTTTCAGTAAATGTTCAACCAAGCCTTTTTCTTTACTCCTCACTATACTATTTACAAAAGTGAAAGTGAATCTCTTAGAGTTCTGTGGAGCAATATATTCAAGAAGTAGTGTAAATCAGATGTGGATACAATGTACATTTACTTAAAACAATCCAAGGAACTTTTGAAAAATGACCTCCATTTGCGGTTGGAGGGCTAAACAATTTAACCCATACATGACACTCGGGGACTTTGAAAAGTGAGGGATGTTTATAAAGCCAAATTCCACCCATATATGACACTTGGGGACTTTGGAATGTGAGGGATGTTTATAAAGCCAAATTTTACCCATACATGACACTCGGGGACTTTGAAAAGTGAGGGGTGTTTATAATGCCAATCCCTAGATGTACTGCAACACGGGTTCTCGGTTTATACGGCCTCATCCAAAGGACCGATCTCCATGTTCCACATTGGGATACGAACCCACAATGTAAGGACCAGCTTCTTACTCCGTCACTCTTGAGGAGATGTTGTTACGGGCATTTCTATCAAGCGGTTAAATCTTTATATCAGAAATCCGAGTCTTGTGTTCGTTTGGGTAGCCATTACACCGGCTGGTTTGGATGAACGTCGGGAGTTAGACAAGGAGATAATCTCTCCCCATCGTTGTTCGCACTGTTCATCAACGATCTCGCTATACAAGTAAAAAATTTAAACAATGGAATTGAATTACGCAGATGATTGCGCAGAACGAGGCTACCGTTGACGTACTTCTTGATGTTGTCTCCAACTGGTGCAAGAAATGGAGATTGTGTATAAACCCGACAAAATCTATAGTAGTACACTTCCGTAAAAAACATCGGAAAAGAAGTGATCATTTATTTACCTTATGAAAAGATCGTATTGAATACTCATCATCTTATAGGTTTCTTGGTGTTTTGTTTGACGAATTTACCACATTTAAGGACAACGCAGAAAATCTTGCAAAATCGGGTTACGACAAACATCATAATATTGAATCTGCACAATATCGTGCCTTGCGGTGTTTTCTGGGTGTGCATAGATTTACGCCAATACTAGCAATTCAAGGAGAAGTTGGTTGGCTTCCTTCATTTTATCGACTTCGGTTAAATATTATATGTCTTTGGAATCGATTCGTTACAATGCCGGACGACAGACTTACGAAAGAAATATTCTTGTGGGACCTGGAACAATCTTCAACAAACAACAGAAATTGGTCACATACAGTGAAACTCCTATTTGAATCTCTTGATATGTCTACTTATTTCAAAAATTAAATGGTCCGCAACTTAACCATAGCGGAAGATAAACTTCGTCGAAAATTTCTAAACGCATGGAATGAAGATCTCCAAAATGTCCCAAAACTTAGAACCTACCGAGCCGTAAAATCTTATTTTCAAACCGAGAAATATGTAACAATGGATATTCCAAAATGTCATCGTTCTATACTTGCTGCGATGTTTTACCTATAAGAATAGGAACAGGGCGGTATAAGGGGGAGGCTTTATCTGACAGAATCTGTACTCTTTGTTCTTCAAATAGTGTAGAAGACGAATGCCACCTTTTGCTTCATTGTACATCATATTAAAATTTTAGAGCAATCTTTTTTACCAGTATTGGATTTAACCCAACTTCATTTGATATCAGTATTTCAGATTAAGACAAAACCTAATTTCTTTTCGTGAATTTCCCAAGGCAGTTCGGAAAATTCATATACTCAGCATATACTTACAAAAGTCTATTATTTTTAATAAACGAAATGCGTAATATCTCTGTATCCTTACTGAATGTTATATTGTTAAAGTGACATATAGGCCCGGTGGGCCGGGTGTTTAAATTCCTATTATATGTATATTTTTTGACAGCTGTTGTAATTTTACATAACACATGTCACTATAATAAACCATTTACTTACTTATTTACGTTACATGTACCTCTGCGTCACTTGGGCTTACATGTATCTTGGTGAGGTCAATTAAATGGTTAAGTACTTTTCAGTAAGTAGGAGTAGTATTAT